TGGTCCGGCTCAACCGCGTCGCTAATATGTTCCACGCGGGACTCACATATTTCTGAAGAATGGGTGCGAGGGTCGGTATACAGGCAGCAATCACACATAGCCACAGCTCCATTAGAGTGACTAGCAAGATATCTGCCCAGGACTCTGGGATAAAGTCACTGCTCGAGACCTGAGCGGTCATAGCCAGACGCACAGTCATAGCGCTAATAGTCCTAATATTTGTATCAGCAATCAGAAGGAGCCGGTCGAAAGACACCACAAACTAACATAATTCCGATGCTAAGCATAACGGTGACGACGATCTTCTTGCGAGTTGGCATATGGAGACCCCAGAGCACAGGCATTGGCATAGCAATGATGATTATATCAATAACAATGTTGAGACTCAGGAATGTAAACACTTCGTAGGTCATCGTTCGACACCAGCCCCCAGGTACTGGATTCCACATCGGGGACACCGGTTGGCAGAGATTCACGAAGACAACAAGGAAGGTGATCCCGTAGCAAAGAACTAATCCTACCTACCTGGTAGCATTGCATATGCCCAGCGCCTAAATATTGGTATCGTAAAGATTCTAGCATAGAGCCAGAGGATAGCGAACTTGGTGAATACGGTTGCCAAAAGCCACATGATGTCGCTAATCATAATGAACTGGTATATGGTCAGTCGGCGAACATATGTAGAGATAGTAAATCTTGATATAATTATACCTGGGTAAGATCACAGACTTAGCCGGGGTCGACTTAGACGCTACGCTCGCCTAGCCCTCTCTAGCAGATGGCCCATGCCGTAATAGCACTGATCCCAATAGTATTTATCTATCAATGTCAATACCAAGTTTAGTAGTCTGTCTCTGGAAATTCATACCCATGCAAAGACTATTAGCCCATCGTCAGCACATCATTTGCGTTTGGCAAGCCATGCTGCCCAGAAACGCAGAGCCAGGACCGCGCTAGAAATTATCATAAAAGATATGTCCCATCCTAGCAACCAAATACCCTTGGAGTTTAGGGTCGATATATCTAATATGGCGTGACAACTTGCGACCTCGTGGCCGAAGATAATTGCAGTACTGAAAAGATATAGTATATGAGGTTATACAGAGATATTATCACCTTCCTGAGCTTATTTATGAATGAAGAGAGAAACCTGGCTTATATGTGTACACATTCCACGCCAAGATGACCTGTACTGCACCTAGCAGCAATCCTTTGGCTGCGGATTTTAACACGCAAATCGAATGCTAACTATTTCAGTATAAGATAGGCAACGAACTACCTTATATAAATAGCTATACTCTGTGGACTCTTGCCGTTGAATTCGGTCCTGTGCTTATGTGCGTTATACTTACCGACACACAGCCCCGAATCCGAGACAAGGCTGCGTAAAACTGTCCCGGCTATCCCGGCAATGATGCGAGAGCTGTGAAACCAGCTGATCTGTTTCAGAGAGCTTAGGCGTGCCAGTGTAGTAGCCCGAGAGGCAAGACCATAAACGTTATCCTAATGGTGATACACTTCTTCTCAGGCGCCATACGAGAAACGAAGCGGTCGAAAGCGAAACGCCTATGTTAATTGTATAACTGTTTAAATTGATGAGATCACACTTGTATGATTCTATGAGTAGTACAATGGTTTATACGGATAAACGTCTCCTTCTGCTTTATGAGTACTAGGTACCTAGCTGTTTTTAACGCTACCTCATACCTTACCGCCGCCTCCTTGCTTGAGTACGTAGACTATTATGTTATAGGATCATAAGAAAAACGACTGGAATCAATATTATAATTAATGAATAGCCGAACGCTTAAAGTAAGCTACGGTATAAGTACTTAGAATAAAACTAAAAAGGATAGGTACTTTCATTTTTAAAGCTGTATTACAAATTAACTATCCACACTTATATCGTATCCTTAGCTCGTATACCTAAGTAAGACGCCGTTGAGTCAAACAGCTACACAGTCAGCATAGGCGTTCTGATCTAAAAATGAAAGGCCACGGGCGGATTAATAAGTCCCTAGGCAATATTGTTAGTGCCGGTAACCACGATAACGGCGCTAGGGACTTACAAATGTAACAAAACCCGTGTCACAGTCCGGAGTTCTGGGACGAAAGTTACCATCACGTGAGAAGAGGCGAAATCCAAGTGTCTGTCGCGATATATGTGCTGCTAAGGGCGAGGCCCAATGTTGCTTAATGTGTCGAAAAGCTAGAATACAACCAAGCGAAGCCAATCGTGCGACCCCCATGAGTTCTGCCTTGGCCCGTCACGCCGTCGTTGCTTCCCAATATCTTATATCTGATCAAGGGGGTTTTCACAGTTGAGTCCGACGGCCGGGTTGATAATAGCAGCGGGATCCAGATACTTTCGGAGGATGGTTTCTGGGGCTCCCTGGAAGACGATGCAGTAAAACATCTGGGAGATGTTTTCCCACAGTTGCGCTTCCTCCGGATCCTTGTCGACCTCCTCTTGACAGGAGAGGGGGATCCACTTGACGTAGCAGCCCTGTCCGCGCCACAACTCGTAGAACTGGCCGTTCTTACCATTCCTCATGCCGATGCCGCTATAAAAGGAGTCAGTTATTACTTCTTTACTTGAACGGGGTGTCTAGGGGAATATGAGTGCCAAAAACGATAGTACGTACTGTGTTGCCGCACACCATCGTATGGTGGTTCTTGTTGCCTGGCCGACGTATCTCTTGGAGCGCTTCTCGTCCATTGCGCAGAGCAGGTGGCCGAGATAGCAGCCCTGCTCGTGTGGCAGTTCGCTCATCGTCCTGCCCAGACGGTCCAGCGTATCCTTGGCGATATCTCTGGCTAGCATGATGTCCATGACACGGGACTCTCGTTGGATACGCTTCCACATGGCGTCTAGGGAGTAGCGTCCGTTCATGTATGCGTACCTATCGCCCAGAACTTCATACTGGGCTCTGTTGCGCACTTTATCCAATATCTCAACCATCCATGTATCCTGGTTGTACAATGGCTGTTGAGGAGGTGCGGGCACAAAGCCTGAGTTGGACGGTCGACGGCTTTGCGTCACGCTTGGTGCGCTATCATGCTGGCCGTTTTCCCAATGGACACGCCGGCTACCCTTCGATTCGCTCGCATGTCCTTGTTGTACCTGGGCTTCTTGGTGTTCTCGAGTGGCATCTTCTACGCCTACTTGACGGTAGGCAACGCACGCCATATCCAAGATGGCAGGTCGGTGTTGCTGGTACTCAGAGTTTCCGATCTTGTGCACCACGGTCTTCTTTATGTATGGCTCTAATTCCTCCTCTACAACTTCCTGTGCCAGTTCGTACGTGTTGCTGTAGAACCTTGGGACTTCGATGCCGTACTTGGATATTCCAACCGGGATCGCGCCGTCTGTTGCTGCAAGTGCCCGTAGACGTTTCCAAATCTTCCTGTGCAGGCCCGGATTCCGTTCGTGAAGATCTTTCAAGGCGGCAGTTGCTACAAGGTCGGTATCCTTCGACTTGGGTTGGGGAGCCGGAATAGGGGCTGGAGCAGGTGTAGGAGCAGGAGCCGGAGCTGGACCTGAGATGTAAGGGTTATATTGCTGTGGTGTTGGTCCCCACATAAAAACAGCTCCAGGGGGAGGAGGCTGTGATAGTGGCATCTGGTGTGGCATCTGTTGTGGTATCTGTTGTTGTGGCAATTGTTGCTGTAGCATCTGCGCTTGAGGGAAAGCAGGCATCATGGGAAAGTAATATCCCGGTGGGCCTGACATGTTGGAGGTTTTATATCTGAGGATCGAAGTCAGAAATAAGTAAGGTTGCTAAGAGAAGGAGAAGTTTAATTATTGATAAGAGAGAAGGGCAAGAGTATTTATAGATATGCGTTAGAGTATCAGAGGTATTCAATTGTCAGAGATAAAAGAGACAAAGTTGTTGCTTGTCAGGGAGAAGTTGTAGAATAAGTGACGCTGGTCAGGCAGAGAAGTATTTATAGATAGGTCGGAGCACGAATCACAACCTTAGGTAAGTAACAGAATCAAGAAACGAGTCGGATTTCTACTGTGCTTGAAGCAAACAGAATTATCCCGGAACTGATCAAAATATACTATTGGTTCACGGAAGCTACTACACAGTTTAAATAGCATGGCATGGACTAAATAATGGCCTTTGCTAACAACAAACACGATCAACGCGGAGCAGGCAATCAAGTCACAGCAATTCCACAAATCATCGACACATTGACCATCACTACCATCATCCGATGAATCATCTGGTCCCCATTAGATTGACATCCATGTGTTCGATTGCTCTCCGTGTAGCAGCTTTGACCATGACTCTCACATCATTCTCGAAAGCTTAGGCCTTAGCACCATGTTTCTAGCCCATTCTTCGCCTCGACTCCCTGTTACCATGCCTTTAAACAGGGGTTTTGTTGTACCTAGGCAGCTACTAGGGGAAATGGTAGTTATACATACAAACAGTATTCGTTGCCTAGGCTCAAACCAATCAACCGTCCTGACACCGAATCTGAAATCCACCTCGACCCCAAGGGTAAGAAGCCAGCCACGGCTCGGCATTTGGGATGATTCTAAATATCACCCGGCGCTCCTAGTCGGGATCTATACGCATCTAGCCCTCTCTTCGCTTGACATTATCTCACCTTTGCCTATATTTCATACTTGAGTTGATCGTATTACCTACCGTAGTTTACATTGTTGGGAAATGTTTCTTATAACTTCAGGCATCGAGCTTGATTACTTATCTAGTGAAAATAAAGATAAGAAATAAGAGAGATAACTAAGATAAATAAAGAAAAAGAGATGTTGATCATCCCTCTATTGTCTGCCAGCCAGGAAGAAGCCGGCGTGATACTCCAAGGATAATAATTCTGGGGTATTAGTGGCCAATGACCTTGTGATATGCCCCACACTTTAGGCCAATAAGGTTCCGCTTTGCTCGAACTAAAAGCCAAACAGACATATAGGCTGCATTATGTGCCTAATCGTCATCGGCCAGTTAAACGGTCCTCTTCGACTCATTGGTGAGATGGCCGAGTGGTTATGGCGCTGCGTTCAGGTATACCTGAATCCAAATTCGCAGTGGAGCAATCCGCGTGGGTTCGAGTCCCACTCTCATCACTTTTGCCTTTTTATCATTCTTCTTTTCACATTCCCGGAAGCATTTTTATTGCCTCTTTAATCATCAATAGGATTTTTGGTTTCGGAAATCAACGGGGGTCAGTGCAAAACCTTGGAATGAGACAGAGCAAGCCGAGTTTGTATCGTGGTTTATCAATCTGAGCGTGATGCTGCGCTCAGGTGATAGTCCCTCCAGTTTTTTAATGTTTCTCCCTGATTGGTCAAGCGCATCCTCTCCTTAAATGATCGCCTGAGCACTAAGTGTCATACTACATGAACTTGACTCCTGCGATGACATATCGAATCTTCTCTATGCATTGCCCGTTCTTGAAGAATAATCATTAACAACCTAAATTATAAGCCCTTTTTAAAGAGATAACCATATGAAGATTCGATGTTCCGACTTTTAGTCGGTTTACTCAACATTTTCGCAATGCATCAAGCCATGCTACTCTCTATTAAACAAAGAAGTAATTGATTGTTGGATCATTGCGTGTTCTAGGAGTTAGGCACGTTGTGCGGTGTTCATCGACTTAATTAACACAACAACCCAAAGCTTATGAAGATTTATTAAGATGTAACTAAGGCTTGTCGTCAACTACTAATATCATTTGTCCTTTCTTCGTTTCGATGAGATGGCGACGAAACGGGGCCCAGGGCCCGAGCTAGTCGGTAATCCGTTCATCAAGAAAAGGAATTTGGAATGGAGCCTGAACCTTTCCGGTTCAACTAATGATACCGATGGAAGCAGTAGCTCAGGCGAGCCGCTTGAAGAACTTCGACAGGAAGAAATTCGCCCAGACGCCTCCGCAGTGGAAGTAGGCAAGGCTAAGGTTGATGACCATCTTGGTTACTTTAGCGAACTGCTGATAAAGGCAGCGCTCTCGCCTTTCCCACAGGGCATGCCAAGGTTATCTATCGAAGGCTATCGCAAGCTTTATGAGGCCAACTCGGGCAATCCGAGAGGTGCGCACTTCATCGTCCACCAACACGATCATCCCATCGCAGGCACACACTACGATCTCCGGCTACAGATCAACGAGACGAGTAGCGCGTCATGGGCTATCATGTACGGGCTTCCAGGCGATCCGAACAGTCAGCGTTTGAATAGGAATGCCACAGAGACGAGAATCCACTGCCTATGGGTAATTTTACCTATACCTGCTCCCCAGCTCTACCCTAGGGCTCTCTAACCTCGTCCGCTTCTGTAGAACCACCTCATAGAAACTGCCTCGGACTCAACCGGGTCTCTTCTCATCTGGGACACTGGGACATACACCATTCTCCCGTCACGAGAAGGCAGCAAGCGAGCCGATTCCAACTCGCAGTCCTCGGCGGAGGAAGACTCGTCGTCTGAGCTCACAGAGCAGGAGAAACTCCACCACGCATTCCAGGCGCGGAAGATCCGCATCCGGCTCAACGGCACGCGACTGCCCCCGAACTATGTGCTAAACCTTCGACTCACGAAGGACGAGGATGCGGCGGGCCGTGCTAAGAGCGCGCGCACGCCCACGAGACGTGGAAGGCGGGGAGGAACGGCGAGAGGCAGAGGGAGGGGCAAGGGCAAGGCAGTAGAACCCATGACGAGCTCGGATTCAGATTTAGATTCAGACGGAAGAACTAAGAATGGTGACGGTGACGACGAGGCAGAGTTCGTAAACGCGCCGGCTGAGGAAGACCGGGAAGACGTCTCGGCGATGGAGCGCGAGATCCGCGAGCTCGAGGACGAGCAGGTGCGCCGTACGAACGCGTACTCGGGTGCGGCGAACTCGGTCGGTAGTGTGCACCAGCGTCGCTGGTATCTGTCGCTCGACAGGGCCGCGTGTGGGTTTGCGAAGCGTCGTAGGGCGGGAAGAATGGTCTGGGAGCCTGAGGACACTGCTCAGACGGGTGATGGGGTTAATGGGGGTGACGGCGGTAGACTTACATTCCCGTTCTACGTCCGTGGGGTGGAGGCCGAGCGCAGTGTCGTGACGGCACGGACCGGCGCTGATGTGTTGAAGGATGCGGGTGTTGAGGGGTATGTGGGACGGAAAGGCTGGCGGCCTGTGCTGAATTAACAATGAGATGAATTTGAGGGGGGTGGATGTTTATCCACGCAGAGAAATTACGTCAACTCAGATGAGGTTTTAAACGGTTGGTCAAGTGAATGGCAGCCATACCAGAATCAGAAGCACAACAGGACAAACGAGGTTGTGTTTCTTCACATAACTAAGGTGTTTAAAGGGGTTTTTTTTCCTTCCGGTTTTCCCCTTACTGTTTTACATGGTGGTAAAATGCCTACAAGACGTCAAATGCACAGATTTTGACCCAAGCGCAATCCCAATAATACTTTTTCGCTAACATTGGCTGATCCCAAACAGCTATTTCCATCCCCCGCTTTCCTTGGTCTGCGAGGAGAAAGAAGTCTTCGCATCGTCTTTGCACTTCTGGTCGCTGCTTGAAGTCGCTGTGGGTGTCTCTAAGCCTGGGCCTCTCCAGAAGCGTGGCTACCTCCTCCGTGGCTGCTCCTGTGGCTACCACCATGACTACTTCTGTGGCTGCCTTCGTGACTAGCACCCAAGCTATGGCTACCTCCCGAGTGATGGCTACCTCCTGAGCGATGGGTTCCTCCCGAGCGCTGGCTTGCTCTTGAGTGATGGCTAGCCCCTGAACTGAGGGTTCTCCCTGAATGATGGCTAGCTCCTGAGTGATGGCTGCCTTCTGAATGGTGGCTACCTCTGGAAGGATGAACACCTCTGGAGCTATGCCTGCTTCCAGAGTTATTATTTCCAGAAGTATGGCTTCTAGGGCCAAGTGGGAGTCCTGAGGAATGGATGTTTCTTGGATGAGCTCTGACTGTCGAAGAAGTTTTCTTTCGCACATGATACACGGTGCCGTTCTTGTCCTTCCAGATATAGGAGTCCCATCCCCCGCCCGTGGAAATCCTCATTGTCTGAACCTTGACTGCATATATGAACGAGTTGCCCATGCTGCTAGTTGATCGGATGGTTCTTTTTGTTGGTCTTAGGAGTAGTTGACTTTCGAACAGCTAACAAATAAATGCTTCGGTGCTTCTCTCTAGTCGTCGAAGGAGTGAGTATGGTGGATTACCTATCGTTGCTAGCAAATAGACCTAACTGTTAACCCTCAATGTTGGATGAGATTTATGTTAAGTAAGGATGTCGGGGATGGGCTCAGATTATAAGGAAGAAGGGATTGCATGGAGTGACTCTTAGTCATTTTCTGTCCTGTTGACCGAGTGAAAAGGTGATTCGGCTTCCACAGCTACTGCTAACATGTTAGACACTCATTACCAAAACCCACGTCAAAGGTAGTTGTCTCCGAGCTCCTCTGGGCCGAGCCATCGTTGACTACTTCCATGACATGTTTTCTAGGACAACTACTGCCCATGACTATAGTATACTTCTTCAACGGCCAAAGCTCCACTCGATAGCATCCAATAGAGGAGTTCAGAGCAAGAATGCTAGGTATTGTCGAGACCAGTACCATCTAGCGTGTTAATGCGACATGTCCTTAGTTGTTCATAGATGACCCATAAGTTATTGCTCCTGATGTTTGCATATATACCTGGGTTAGTAGGTACTCAGTAGCTCTCCAGACCATGAGATTCAACGCAGTCAAGTCTTGGTCACTTAGACACTATCCAGGTTGTCAGGCATGACGAGGTTGCGGCACGTTTACTCAGGCTTGTATAAGAGCTAACTAGATTCAAGGAAAAGTTGCGGTTCCATAGGCAACTGATTCAGATTCATATCATGGCTCCAGTATTGCTCGTAATGTCCGATAACTCTTACACTTGAATCAGAGGTTCGATTTCACACATAGCTTTAAAAAGCCAAGGCTAAGCGCGAGATAATATCACACAGGGAGGTCTTGTAACGCGTGTCCGGAGGCGAATATACTAAGCCAGGACTACCACGAGTCAACCGTTAAGCCGGATGAACTAATAAATGGACCGAATCCCTAAACTCCTAGCAGTTGGAGCATCTGATGGTGTTGGGGTAATTAGAAGGACGAGGATAAGTAGCACTGTATTTACACATGTGGCATCCTACTTATCAACGTCCTTTATACAAGCCCTAGAAGTCGAAGCAAACTGAAGCTCCTCGGCCAATATAACTTTGAATCCCCGAATGTCAATTCATCATGATTCGCCTGCTGGTTACCTCAAACCATCTGAAGGTGGATATCTCAATGACACGTAAAATTCGACCAACTCCTATTCCGATGCGATGCAATGCAATGCAACAACTGCCACTCCCCTTTTCTTCTCTCCGGTCCTCATTATACATCGTAACACCCAACTCCTGCCGTCTTCAATCGTGCGGTCGGGGTTTCGAGTTTCGAGTTTCAGCCGTATCTCATAGGTGCCTGTCCTTGCGGTGGACTTTGTCCCCATCCCTGAGGTGGACCGTTGTGTTGCTGCGGTGGAGGTTGCATAGGTATGTTATTCCCTCCTGCTCCTTCTCCTCCGCGCTTCATGGCCTGGACGTCGGGGCGGTTCTCTAACGGCTGCGCAAAGTTGCAGATGTGGCAGGTGATGTCTTGGTAGCCGTGGATCGAAAGAGGAACGACGGGCTGTGTGTCGCGTTAGCATCTTTAGAATCTCCAAAGGGTTAACTGGGTACAAAACATACTACGAAGCAGAAGGTGAACCACGGATTGCTCTTGATGACATGACCGGCCCAGTTGCCGCAGTTATGGCACTGGCATGTGACGCCCTCGTAGCCCTCGACTTCCTTTCGGAAGGTGTGCTCGCCGCACGTGAATATCAGACACATCGTGAATTGTTGTTATGCGGCAGTGATGTTCGGGGTTGTAGCTCGCACTAACAGAAACGGTCGAGTGACTAGAGGAGGTTTATGCGCTCGCGAAGGTAATTGTATGGGACAGGTGACGTCGGTGATTAAATTGATTGAGGAAATGTGGACGTTACCATATTAATGGAAGGAAGTGGTTGTAAGGTTAAAAAATTAAATAAAAAAAAGACGATTCTG